ATAAAGTACTGTTTTTCTGGTTTTTTTTTCTTTTTAAAAATAAAAGCTGTATTTGTCTCCAGTTGTTTTAGTAACTGATGCAGTTTTGCAGTGAAAAAAGTAAATATTTTACATGGTAAAACAATATGGTTTAATACAAATAGTAAATGCTTTGATTAGTTTTGAACAATATGACTTTCAGTGTTCAACTGTTGACAAATTCTCTTCATGCAGTTTGTTAAAAATATTTTTTCAAATGCAAATCAATTTCAGTATATTTATTGATTGATGCAGTATCTTGTATAGTCTGGATGCAACCACGGTGTACATTTTACTGCCTAAATAGTGTATCTGTTAGAGGGTCTGCTGATAGATTCTTAAGAGCCATAGTCTAATATTTTTAGGAAGGTTGTGGGTGCAGTCCAGTAAACAGGATTCTTCTGTTAAAAGGATTTTTTTAAGTCGTTGGTGCAAAAAGTGGGCAGACTTGTGTTTTTAGTTCCATCTTGACTGTGCAGCACTTCCAAGTAAGGTTAACCAATGCACCAAGTATACTTCTGCACGATCCCTACTGAATCAGCCCAGTGGCTTCAGTTTGTACCAGAAACAATCTAGATACCTGCACTGTGTTGCCTCAGTTATTTTAACTTCGCACTTGTGTGCATTTTCTACGGCGTAAAAAAGTGCTAGTGTTTTCTTGTTCCTTATCAGTGTATTACATATTATTTTTATGGGATTCTTCAGTTATTTTTATTGGTATGTTAACCTTGTTTCTAAGAACTGTCTTATTATGCATGGTTTCTTTCTGTTCTGTTGTCATCTCCAGTTTGTATGTTCCTCTTAAATCTATGAAAAAATAGAAGATTTCAAACTCTGCAGAAAACTTCATGTGCTGCTATCATAGTTGTTAATTAAATATTTGCTAGGCAAATTGTCCGGAGTGTTTCCTTCTGTCAGAATAATTCTAACATCCTTCTTTCTCCTCCAAAATCAATCTGAGCACAAAGCAAATATTACAGGACCTAACTGGAAAAAAGGGAAAATGAAGCATTTTGCACTGGAGATGGTCAGCATGAATTTCAGTAGTTAGTGAGGTCTTAATTGAGAATCACTTCACCTTAAATGGACATTCCAACCTTTTTCACTGTTAGACCATTTAATTTAACTTCCTGCATTAAAGTTTCTCAGATAATTTAATGCAGTTATCCAGATACTAAGCCCAGTATGCTGTGCATGATTACTACTCTTAGGAGCAAAAATGAAGTTAGAAACTTTTTAAAGCATTTGAACACAAAATTAGGCATCTGAAAATTGTTGAGTTTGAAAGTGATAATATTTATAAAGCTTTTTTTCCAAATAGCTGGCATGAATGACATGGTAGGTTTCTAGTAGAATACATACAACCAAGTTAGGGGTAGAATACTGCAGCATTATGAGTGTTTGAGCATGTTTAGTTTGTATACCTACTGAGGATGCGTAGTCATTTCAGACTGCGGGTTCACCATTTTATCCATGCCAGATGCTTTATGGAAGACTTTCCTGCATTGTTTGGAGTCACTTATGTTCTAAGCTTTAAAAAGAATTAATTAATACATAGTGTATGCACTGTCAAAACAAATAAGCTTTTTATTCTATGAAAGGTTGCCTTTATTGAACTGGAATGTTTATGATGTATTTACTAAGCTCCATGTAGAAATTCTTTATCTTAGTATTAGATAAAACTCAGCGTAGCTTAAAAGTACTGTGAATGGATTGTCTCACATTCGTCTCTATATACTTAAGACTAAAGTAGCACTTTAGGAAATCTGCACTTTTAACCAGATTAAAGCAAGATGCATCATAAAAATATAATGTGGTATATTTAATGCCACAAGTAGTGTACGTTCAGCTCTATAGTTCTAATTTGCTGTTTATATTCACCGAGTGCTGGGATATATTTCCATGCAGCACACTCCCTTGCATAACTAATTTGAGTGTGTCAGTTACAAATTGATGGCTGAATAGATCACATTGTGTAAAATAAGGTTGTTAATAATTTAAAATAGTTGAATTAAGAGTATATCTTTCTTAGCAGCCCAAAATATTGTCGTCTTTTTCACTCAGCTCTCAATTGTTGTGATGTGGAATTTGTTGCAATTTTTTTTTTAAATCTAGGAATAAAATTAACAGGCAGTTATGATTATTTGTGAGTATGTAGAATTGTTATTAACATGTAAGTTGTGAGTTTTATGTAGATTAGAAAATTTTTCATCAGACCTTACTGTATTAGAGTTTGGTGCTTCCAGGTAATCAGTACAGTTTTGAAAACAGTTCTCACCATGCAAAATGAGCCAAATTATACTCTAATATGTTTGTATGCATGTGGTGACATACATTGCTATGTGTATGTTTAGTCTGTGGGTTTCTGAGTTGTTAGCTTGCAGAATATGTATGACTTGTAGGATATTAAATATTCTGTATTTACGCTGATTTTTTTGGTTACTTTGTTTTTGAAAACCTGTTAACAGTTTCAACATAGCTTAAAGAATGTTTAGAATAGAAAGGAAGATCTGTTCTTGGTGTAGCTTCTTGAAAGATGAAATTATGTAAATCATGTCCAATTTCGTTGCCTGCTTTGGGGTGGTGGGTGGAGGAAATTATCATAGTTCGCATCCTCAACTTAGATGTGTGTCAGTATTTCCATTTTTCAGTCTGTCAACTATATAATTCTTTAGCTGTATAGTACTAAGAGCATCACTACCAAAATACAGTTACTGCGCAGATTTTCCCTGCTTCTAGATCTGTAAAGAAAATTTGGAGGGGGAGGAAGGGACATAGGGTATGAAATAACATGGTTAAGTTGGCATTAATTGTGTTACCTTTCAATTCCAAGTACTGTGCTGTACAACTTTCGCTGTAAAGAGAAAGTTTTATATGTTTCTTCAGTGAAGTATGTATATAATTTCTAGTCAGGAATCTTATACTTTATGCAGTTCCAATTCTTTTCTGTTAATATTAAATATTCCAATTCTTTTCTCTTAATATTAAATATGTTAATATCTAGGTGTAGTTTTACTGCATCTTAATGAATTAGCTGGGCACAAGTGACTTTTTTCCAAACGATACAATCATCTTTGTGTTGACATTTAGTTACTATTTATTGTATACTTGTAAAAAGCTATTGCTGTTGATACGCTAGAGCTGTATTACCTGTCGTGATAATATATTTTTTAATTTTATTTGTATCTAAATTTTCCAGGTTATACAATATCTGTATCATTTTCTTTTTCAGGAAATTTGAATGTTACTCTTCAAGTATGGGATGTAGGGGGGCAAACGATAGGAGGCAAAATGCTGGATAAATATATTTATGGAGCTCAGGTACAGTATAAATGATGATAATTGTATCTATAGTAATTATATAAAATTCATTGAAACTTTGTTCTTAAAATTATACATCTCTTACAGGTTGTTGTTTTGTAGATCTCAAAGATGTTGAATCTCTGCTTAACCTAAACTTAATTGATATTAAGATGAAAGTCTAATTCTGGTATGTAGTTAATTTTTTAGAGCTGACTTAAAAACCAAAGCAAGGGTGTGTATTTGTAGATCTGAATAACTCTCAAGAACAGATGTATGTTTCCATGCTTTGTGTCTTGAGTTAAGAAAAGCAATCACAGTAAATAGTAAAGGCTATTTGGATATCCACATGGTAGATATAGTGGCTGCTTTTAAAATAGATGCCTCCTGGGGGAAAAAAGTAGAAGGAGGAAATTAAGAGCAATCCTATACCATTAAACTCATACATGCAACTGGGGTTATAAGAGGGCAAACAAAAGGAGGCAACCAGGTAGCTAAATATTTTTGCAGAACTCTTATCCAATGAAAATTAATTTTATCTTGAGGTTAACTAAGCAACTTAAAGTGAATGGTAGGATTAAGTAAGAGCTAAATATTATAACAGTATCTTGAATGATGAGATGGTTTAGGAGGATGTACTATATGCCAAATTTCTTAACATGAGTGATCCTAAAATGTATTCTGTTCTTTAATTTGGAATTTGTAATGAGAACAATAGGAAAAACATTTTATTACATAATGTTATATTTATCTGAAAAGAAAACAAATGCACCTATTTTTCCCCCAATACTTTAAGGAATAGGAATACGGAATCCTAAAACTTTTATTGGACAGAAACTCTGTACTAATAAGTACAGCACAGGAATGGCTAATTAAGGAGATTAGGATTTATTAGTTAATAGGATAAAGACAAACTTGTCAATTTAACATTTTGTCACTTTCAAAAAATGTCTAAATGTTTTTAGCTGTTGCATTTGTTTTATACCATTTTCTTATTTTTTAATAAAAACCATTTTCCTGCCCTGTTAAAGATCTACCAAGCAACAGGAGAAAGTGGCTTCCATGACAGAGGGAATTTGATTAATCACAAATTGTTGCCATATGCCCAAAGTAAACTCAATGAAGGAAATAAAAGGCTATTAACTTTTTCTGTATTGAATTTGGTGATAAACTTAGGAGTTTCTTATCAGCAAAAGCAGGTCAAAAAGTTAATACCAGTGCCCCAAAGTAGTGAAAAAGTTAATATCAGTAAGCCTAAAGTTAAAAAAGTTTGATTTTTAGTGTTTCTGAGCACATTAACAAAAAAACCCTACGTCCAATCTCTTCTCCTTTAATCCTCCCCCAACCCTCATTGTAACTCTAATTTTTTTAATGAACTAGTGGCTGTTTTCTTTCCCATTGTTGGCATGTATTGCCAATGTCTGTAATAGGCTTCTTATCATCAAAGCTGACTTGTAACACGCTTTTCTATTAGCTTTGTAACAGCACCTGTTAAAGGCACATAAAACTATCTTTATTTTCATTTATTCATGAAACACCATGAGTAATTCAGAAAGGCACTGCTTTCAGCTTATTCCTGGACAGACGCTTATTTCATGTTGAACATTCGTAGCTTTGTAGAAGAAAAAGAGGAAAGATAAAGTACAGCAAGTAGGAGTATTTAGAAAGAAAAATCCTTTTAAGTACATATAAAAATTCCTGTGAATGGACAGCAAAGCAGCAAGAATGTAATTGGGAAGAGCTAGCATGGAATTAGCAAGGGTAAATTGTGCCCAACCAACCTGATTGCCTTCTGTGGTTAGATGATTGGCTCTGTAGAGAGGAGAGCTGTGGATGTCATTTACCTTGACTTCAGCAAGGCCTTTGGCATAATCTCCCATAAAAGTATTACAGACGAAATGTAGAGATACAGACTGGATGGGTGGACCATAAGGTGACTGAAAAACTGAATGGACAGCTGGACTTAAAGGGAGATGGTCCATCGCTCAGTGTCTTACTGGTGCCTGGTTATAAGTCGTATTCCTTAGGGGTTGGTACTGGGGTCATGTCTTTTATTAATTCTTTGAACAATGGAAAAAAATATTGTTTGTAAGTTTGCAAATGACACCAAATTGGGGAGGAATGGTCAATGTGCTGGAGGGTAGGGGTGCTATTGAGAGAGACCACGACCAACTGAAGGATAGGACCAACAGAAACCTTGTGAAGTTCACTGAAGACAAATGCAAAGTCCTGCACCTGGGACAGAATAACCTTATGCAGGCTGGGAATCAACTGTTGAGGAATCAACTGGAGAGCGTCCAGCAAAGAGCCACTAAGCTGATTAATGGACTGGAGCATCTCTCCTATGAGGAAGGGCCAAGAGAGCTGGGACTGTTCAACCTGGAGAAGAGAAGGCTCAGGGGGATCTCATCAATGTATATAAATACCTGACGGGAGGGCCTAAAGAAGACAGAGCCAGGCTCTTTTCAGTGGTGCCCAGCAACAGGACAAGAGGCAATGGGCACAAACTGAAACACAGGAGGTTCCCTCTGAACATCAAGAAACGCTTTTTCACTGTGAGGGTGACCCAGCACTGTACAGGTTGCCCAGAGATGATGTGGAGTCTCCATCCTCAGAGATATTCAAAAGCCATCTGGACATGGTCCTGGGCAGCTGGCTTTAGGTGACACTGCTTGAACAGGGGTGTTGGACCAAAGGACGCCTTCCAACCTCAGTCATTCTGTGAAATGGCTTTAGAGAAAAGAAGGTGGGGGTCCTACTGGAAAAAGAACAGTTGAATGGGAGTCAGCAGTGCACCCTTGCAACAGTAAAAGCTAACTGAATACTGGGCTGCATTAGTGAGAGTGAAGTAGGCAAATCAAGGAAAGTGATTATCATCCTCTCTGGCATTTTTGAGGCTACATTTGGAGTACTGTGTTCAGTTTTGGGTTCCCCAGTACAAGAAAGCCTTTAAAATATTGGAGCAATTCTAGCGAAGGTTGCTACAAAAGAAGTATGTGTACCTATGGTGTGTTGCACCTGGTCTGTGTGTGTGGTGCAACTGGGATATTAAACATCTTGTTTGCAAAGTATACAAGCTGTACACTTACACATAGAGTAGATGATTTGGATCTGTTGCAGAAATTGTGTTCATCTGCATGTATTCTCCAAATCAAAATCATTCAGATTTAAATGTGTAGAATAGCTTGCAGCATGCCTACAGTATGCATCATGCTTTTACCCAGTATTGTATAGACTTCATCTGGTTGATCATCGTGAGATTCAGAAATCACAAGTGGCTGAATTCTTGGTTTTCTGCTCAGAAATCCAAATATATAGTAGACCTACTTATAAAATACTAAGACCAGCTGGAGATGGAAGTTTTGAGAATCTACAGCAACTGAAAAGGTTGTCTTAGTAGCAAGTCTACAGTTCACTTGATCTCAGTTGAAATTTGATCAGGGTACCAGGAGGAGTAAGTAGAGCATCCATCTATACTTTGCTGCAAACCTTGCCACTGGAGGTTTCCTTCTCTTTGAGAGCTGAATCAATTCTCTAGGATAGATCTTTTGGTTAAGTTACTATTAAGATGCCATTTTTTGACTGAGGTCCCTGATTTTTTGTGCCATGTTTTAAAATAAGAGTGCCAGATTTGAGGATGAGAACTTACTTAATTTGCTTGCGTGGTTGCAGTTGGAGAAATTGCAATTCACTTGTCTTGAAGCGGTTGCTTTTCCACCCCATTTTTTTTCTGGTGTTGCTCATCCAGAACAATACAGTTGCTGCATCCCATCTTGGTAGCTGAATTTCACTGATGGGTCAGAAGAACTCTGCAAGCTGGGGGGGAAAAAGAGCTCTTTGATCTTTATAAATGAAAGGTGCTAATAAACGGTTTTCTGTCAGTGTTGATTTAAACTGACACATTTATCTCAGAATTGAGAGAGGCTAAAAGTAATCGTATAGTCAGTTACCACAGCTGAGCTGATAGACAGTAGTTCATTCAATGATGACAACTCAATCACGTGTATTTGAGTGACCATATCCTCAGTATCAGCAAAGACAACAGTGGTTAAGTATATGTAGACTGTAAACTGTTTTCACCTGTAAAAATAGCATTTCTGCAGATGTGCAAGATATTATAATGAAGTTACTTTTTGCTAAAATGAATATTCTGTGACTAGAAAAAATATTTTAGAATTTTGATCTGACATATTTCATGAATATTAATGAAAATGTGAAAGTTAATTTAGTTCCTTCATACTAAAGTCAGTCATAGGATGAGGGCAGCTGAGGATAAACCTGAAGAAGAAAACGTATTGTTTTAATTAGTGTTTTCCATAGCTTTCTTTTATTGTGACAATCTTGACATAAACTTGACACCTTTTAAATGTTGATTGTCTAGTGTGAATGTATTGCCTGGTTACAACACTTCCATAATAGCAGTTCTGCTGTATAATAGCACTGCTGCTGTTTTTGTGGTAAATATTTCAGAACCGCTCCCATCTCTTACCTGCAATTGCTGCCCCTACCCACATACCTAGTTTAAAGTATCTTTAAGAGCTGGCATATGCTACCTCATAAATTGGCTTGTTAATAGAATAAGAGTACTGCAGACTCTACCTTCTCCAGAGACCAGCAAATAATTTCTGCAATATTCTCAGTTTCCAGTGACCTATTTTTGAAAATACTCTATAATTCCAAAACAAAAAGCACTCACATATGCACTAATGTAGGCAAAATGTCTCTCTTACTAGAGTGCAATTATGCAAGCAGGGACTATTTGCCATCTTGCTGGAGACTAGAGAATTAACATGCTGTTCTCGGCATGTTGTTCTCCATATGTTTCAAACCTTTTTCATGGCAGGGAAATGCGCTACTTTTGTGTAAAAAAGCCAGTGTTAATTTTCCACCTTAATTCCTCATGCTTAATAGGGAAATAACAGCTTTTATACTATCTACTCATTCTGTACTCCATATACGGTAAGTTTGTAGAAAATATGATGTATTTTTGTGAAAGCAATGACGGGGTTTCTATGTTAAATAAAAAAAGGTGAAATAAATTTCAGCAATGGAGTTATGACTAGTCCTTCATTAATTATGTATATCATACTATATACTGCTTATGGAGTGCTGTTGTGGCAAAAACCTAAGCGAGAAGTATTCTTTACAACCTGGATGCCATGCTGCTTTTTTTTTGCATCTCTAAGATGTCATACCTGCCATCTTTGTTTCTTAAGTATAGCAAATATTGACAAGATTCAAAAAAAAGAATGGTTAAGAAAAGAATGTGCTTTGGAGGCGATGTTTTAGATCATGGAGAAGGGGACCAAAAGGAAGTTAGGTGAGCTCTAGTTGTGAACTTTGTTCAATGAATTCTTTCACGGTAAATCCACCGTGAATACTCTTTCTTCCAAAGGTGTAGGTAGGCTGCAGTTGGCTAGAGGACATGTAGCAGAGTAGCATTTTGATGAAGAATTAGTTAGGAACAGAGTTGGCCAACCTTAAATGCTCAGATTCTATTAACTTTATCTTACATCTAACTGATTAAACTCTTCAGTGCTGAAGGTGGTTTAGATAGTCTGCTCTGCTTTTCTGCAAGCTGGTGAGAGAACTTGACCACTGGTGAAAGAATTGTGCCATGTGCACTTTCTCATTTACAACTTTCAGCCTTATGTCTGTTCTTTTTTTTTTTTTTTCCAACCTTTACAATATCTGTCCTTCAGCTTAAGTTTCTTCTTTTCCACTGAGCATTTAATAACATCAGTATGTCCTTCCTAGAGCAAGGCTTATCATGAAAGACATACATACATGCACAGGCATTTGGGTAATTATAAAAATAGTCAGGAGAAGTTAACTGAAATGCAAGATATTAAGGAATAAACTGTACAAAAGATGGAAGAGGGAAGTGGATGTTTAATATTAGATTTGATTAGTAAAGTAAAGGAGGAAAGGTAGCAAGGGAAAAGATGGGTGTCGTAATTCTTAATTTCCTTGAAGGAACTGGTGAAAACTGTTCCTCAGAAATTAATAGCAGCCATATAAATATAAGGAACAAGAACTCATTTTGCCAAGGAGTTGATGGCATTGTGGGAAAAGAGAGAGATTTGTGTTGCTGTCATAGGGAAATAGGAATTGAAGGCATCTCAGTAGAATCTGTTGCCCTCCTCCGAAGCTATACCTGTATAACGTCTATTTCATTTTTATCAACCTTCAAAAATCCTCCAGTGTTGGTGACTCTGCTATCCCTGAAGGTTGTGTATTTCAGAGCTTCACTATTCTTATTGTCTACGTGTTTTTTTCTAGTATGTACCCTTGCTATAATCTTCTTGCTAAGTTAAACCTGTTGCTACATGTTGTATTGATCACAGAATCATAAGAAAGTTCAGGGTGGAAGGGATCTCAGGAGGTGTCTAGTCAAACCTCCTGCTCAAAGTAGGGTCAGCTGTGGGATGGGACTAGGTTGCTCAAGGCTTTATCCAGTTCCTTCTTGTAAACCTCTAAAGATGGAGACTGAGCAACCTCTTTGGGTAAACTGTTCCACTGCTTGATTCTCCTCATGGTGAAAAAGCTTTTCCTTATATATAGTTTTAATTTCTCTTGTTTCAACTTATGCCCATTGTGTTTCATCCTCCTGCCATGCACTACTGTGAAGAGCCTGGCTCCATTTCCTTCATAGCTTCCTCATGGGTATGGGAAAGCTGCTTTTAGGTCCTCCTAGGACCACCTCCTTTCCATGCTGAAGAATTCTAGTTCTCTCAGCTTTTTCTCATAGGACAAGTGCTCCAGCCTCTGATCATCTTGGTGGCCCTCTGCTGAACTTGCTCCAGTTTGTTGATGTCTTCAGGGGCTTAAAACTGGATGTATTACTTTAGATACGATCTAACAAGTGCTGAGTAGTATGGTATAGATCCCTTGGTCTATTGGCTGTGCTTCTGCTAATACAGTCCAGGATCACACTGACCATCCTTGCTGCCAGGGAACATTGCTGGCTCATATTTGGCTTGCTGTCTACCAAAACCTGCAGGTCATTTTCAGTTGGGCCCCAGCCAGTCAGTCCCCCCAGCCTGCATTGTTTAAACTTGCGCAGCTGCAGGGCTTTGCATTTGTCCTTGTTGAATGTTGAAAGGTTCCTGTTCACCGGTTCCCTGAGTGTGTCAACATACCTCAGAATGGTAGCCCTGCCCTCAGGCATATTGGCTGGTCATCCCAATTTAGCGTCATCTGCAAACTATGTATAAGAGCATCTAAAAAGACAACTCCTGTTATCTTCTCTTGAAACTTTTACCAGCATCATCATGCCTGCCATCAGTCTTGTTTGTTGAAACAATCCATTTTTTTCAATTTTCTGTTGTCAGTCATGGTTTCTAAACCTCTGATATTGTTACTGGTCTCTTCTAGTCTACCCTTTTCTTGACATTCAGTGTCCAAAGCTGGATGCATTATTTCACCTGGAGTGTTTCATGCCAGTGTGATATTTGCCTTTTTGCTACAAAATAAGCTTGACGTATTCAGCTGTGATCTGCTATAACTCCTTGATCCTATTGTATAGAACCTGCTACAAAGCCAGATGTTTCCTATTGTGCAGTTGGTTATTGCTTCCTTTGAACTTGTCATGGTACTTATTGAATTGCATCCTATTATTTTTAGATTGTTTCTCATCATATAATCTAAATTCTCCTCAAATGATCTTGCAGTCTCCACCAGTTTGTTGTCATCTGTGAAGTTAATGCAGTAAGCGTGCACTCTATTTTGTGATCTAAGACACCCCTCGTGAAACTATCAAGTAAAGCTGGGCCCAGACAAATGCCTGAAAAACTTGACTTGAAAAATCTTTTCTATTGACAGTGGGTCATTGAACCAGCTAATTTTGTATGCATTGTATTGTTTTTTTAGAATATTTGTGAAAATTTCATGTGAGGAACAGTGTGCAGTTGCAGGGATTTTTTTTTCCAGATATGAACTCCATGAGAACAAGTGCAACAGAAGCCAATTCTGACTTTATTCCTCATTTACAGATACTTACTTTATTATGGTGTAGTGGAAAGCAGGGGCAGAAGACTCAATAATTGAGAGGAGAGTGATTTGTGAGAGCTGGTCTTAGAATTATGGAGGGGAGAACGTGGACATTTGGGCTGTTAATAGGCTGTGCTTTATAATATTGGATATTAGCTCTGAGGAATCCTCAGTAATGGCTGTTTTGAGTACTTGTTACTTGTAGTCTGGCCCAAAACCTCTGAAATATATGAGACTCCCTTCTTTTTGACTTCTGACCACATTTTTAGTTTCTCCTTTGAAAGTTTAAAGTTTGCCAGTACTTCTTGCTTGTCTTCTACAACAGTGAAGGAAGGGATCTGGCCTTTCTCCCCAAAGGAGGGCAGAGACGCGACAGTCAGGCAATGTGCAGAAATGTACGACTGAACTGCTTTTATTTTTCATTTTTTTCAAAAAGGGAACAGTGAAACTACAAATAATACTAGCTAAAATAAAAGTCCTTCTCTGGTGTGATTTTTATCTTACTATTAGTGTGAATGGCTTTTTGTTTTTTTTCATAAAGCAGTGTGGAATATTTCTAATATAACTAATTGTGCTCTTTACTGAATTGCCATTTTTTTTTCTGCCCTTGTAGTTCAGTTAGCATCTGAATTTGGAACACATGGAATGCAGGAGAAATATTGTAATAAAATGTTTATTACAGAAGCTTATAATTCCTTTAATTATTCCTCAAAAGATACAATGCCATTATTTGTTAATGCTCTATTTTATGATAATAATAATTTAGACTGATGCAAATTTTACCATGTTAGTATATTTTTACAATGTGTAACATTTAAAATACATGTTTTTATTTAGGGTATTCTCTTGGTTTATGATATTACCAACGGCCAGAGCTTTGAAAATTTAGAAGACTGGTATAATGTGGTAAAAAAAGTGAATGAAGAATCAGAAACACAGCCACTTGTGGCCTTGGTTGGAAATAAAAGTAAGTTATTCATGCTTAAATATTAATTGAAATACTCTGGATGTTGCGCTCTATCGAAGAAATGGCACAGGGCATATATCTTTAGTAAAATGAAACTAAATACCGTCTTGTGTGTTGTTGCTGTGTACGGATGACATATTTGGGTGTACCTCAGTATTCTGGTTCTGGGCAGTTAGGTTGAGGGACTTGCTGCATCATGCTTTGCCTAGCCTGCAGCCTTTCTGCCTGTGTTTTCTTTATTTGGAGAGCAGCACGCAGGAGTAGAGAGAGATCTCTCACCCATGTTTGAATTTGATAGGGCTTCAGGATATTGCCATGGCATGCATCTAGAATGGAGAACTGGGAAGCATTCCTGGATCTAATAACAGGTATATTTCATGGTTCTGTATGTCAAGAGACTGCTAAATTAAGTACTGGTATATATTACTTAAAATAACTACACTAGGCATAATAATTATGATTTGCTTATTAGGCTTTTTTTGCATGCTGTCTGTAGTTTTGCACATGAGGTTACTTATTTCCTGTTGTTCTGGGATTTTTTAAGCGGTCCTCTTTTTGATCATGTAAGTATGATATAATGGTTTTCTTCTGACCACCAAAATATGCCACTTTAAACAACCATCACCTAGTTTCCTAATTGGATGGATGAATTCCATATGATTTGCTTATTAGGCTTTTTTTGCATGCTGTCTGTAGTTTTGCACATGAGGTTACTTATTTCCTGTTGTTCTGGGATTTTTTAAGCGGTCCTCTTTTTGATCATGTAAGTATGATATAATGGTTTTCTTCTGACCACCAAAATATGCCACTTTAAACAACCATCACCTAGTTTCCTAATTGGATGGATGGATTCCAATTTCCAGCTAAGAAATCTTACAGAAACATCCTTATTAGCATATCTGAGGTCTTGATCCTGCCTCTCTTACCCTTTTTCTATTGAAGATGATAAAAGCAACATAAAGCAATTTTAGAAACAATGTGGCGCACACAGATACAGAAATTTTTAACAATGTAAATACATTTTTTTGAACAACAAAAAATAGCTTTGATTTTTTTTTTTACTTTCCAAGTAACTTGTGTCTATGTCACAGTGTCCATATCGTGAACAAACTTGAAAAAAAAACCTCATCCAGCAAGTTAGTATTGTTTAAAAGCATTTGAAAACAATGTAGAGACAACACTTTCATTCAGAACCATTAACTGTAGTGTTGCTACTGTGATGCTGTAACATTTTATGATATTAATTATGAAAGACTACTTATTTTCTGGGAAGAAAACAGAGAAGCTCTTAGAGTTACAATATATAAAGAGCACTTCTGAAAGTATAACATAGACAGTGTTGTACTCTAGCAGACCAGAGTCAATAATACAGATTCTGTTGAAATTCAAATAAAAAATACTTTTCACTGATTTATATTTTGCCCCAAAATTGGACTTCCTAGTTGGAGTTCTGCAAATCTTATGAAGTATTTATGGTAAGATACACTGTAACATAGGATAAATAATGTTCTTTTACTGGAATGACACCATAGAGGTAGAAAATCAGGCACTGGTTTCCATTCGGAGGAGTTTTATTTCTGTTATATACCTTAAGTATATATACTGACTACATCAGTAAACACGACAAGACAAGGGAGGAGCTACAGATGTCGTCTATCTGGACCTCTGTAAGGCCTTTGACACAGCCCCCCACAACATCCTTCTCTCTAAACTGGAGAGGTATGGATTTGATGGGTAGACTGTCTGGTGGGTGAGGAATTGGTTAGATGGTC